CAAATTTTTGCTTTTAATCACTGGCTGTCCTCGGTGGGAGCCACCCAGGACAGCCAGTGCGTCCATGTCCTCGGTGGGAGCCACCCAGGACAGCCAGTGCGTCCATGTCCTCGGTGGGAGCCACCTAGGACAGCCAGTGCGTCCATGTCCTCGGTGGGAGCCACCCAGGACAGCCAGTGCGTCCATGTCCTCGGTGGGAGCCACCCAGGACAGCCAGTGCGTCCATGTCCTCGGTGGGAGCCACCCAGGACAGCCAGTGCGTCCATGTCCTCGGTGGGAGCCACCCAGGACAGCCAGTGCGTCCATGTCCTCGGTGGGAGCCACCCAGGACAGCCAGTGCGTCCATGTCCTCGGTGGGAGCCACCCAGGACAGCCAGTGCGTCCATGTCCTCGGTGGGAGCCACCCAGGACAGCCAGTGCGTCCATGTCCTCGGTGGGAGCCACCCAGGACAGCCAGTGCGTCCATGTCCTCGGTGGGAGCCACCCAGGACAGCCAGTGCGTCCATGTCCTCGGTGGGAGCCACCCAGGACAGCCAGTGCGTCCATGTCCTCGGTGGGAGCCACCCAGGACAGCCAGTGCGTCCATGTCCTCGGTGGGAGCCACCCAGGACAGCCAGTGCGTCCATGTCCTCGGTGGGAGCCACCCAGGACAGCCAGTGCGTCCATGTCCTCGGTGGGAGCCACCCAGGACAGCCAGTGCGTCCATGTCCTCGGTGGGAGCCACCCAGGACAGCCAGTGCGTCCATGTCCTCGGTGGGAGCCACCCAGGACAGCCAGTGCGTCCATGTCCTCGGTGGGAGCCACCCAGGACAGCCAGTGCGTCCGTGTCCTCGGTGGGAGCCACCCAGGACAGCCAGTGCGTCCATGTCCTCGGTGGGAGCCACCCAGGACAGCCAGTGCGTCCATGTCACTCCCTTCTGTCTATTGGTCTATAAATTAATATGTGTGTGTCACCCACCGTCCACCCTGAGCCCAGACCTGTAACCTCTCAGTTATATCACTGATAATCCAGCAATTTTAGCTTTTTTATTCGTTTACGACACTTAATCTTGCCTGTTTTGTCGTCTACCATCTTCTCCCACGTCCCTCTGTGGTGTACCTGGAGCACCGTCGTACCACTGTGGTGTACCTGGAGCACCGTCGTACCACTGTGGTGTACCTGGAGCACCGTCGTACCACTGTGGTGTACCTGGAGCACCGTCGTACCACTGTGGTGTACCTGGAGCACCGTCGTACCTCTGTGGTGTACCTGGTGCACCGTCGTACCACTGTGGTGTACCAGGTACACCGTCGTACCACTGTGGTGTACCTGGAGCACCGTCGTACCTCTGTGGTGTACCTGGTGCACCGTCGTACCACTGTGGTGTACCTGGAGCACCGTCGTACCACTGTGGGGTACCTGGTGCCCCGTCGCACCACTGTGGTGTACCAGGTACACCGTCGTACACTGTGGTGTACCTGGTGCACCGTCGTACCTCTGTGGTGTACCTGGTGCACCGTCGTACCACTGTGGTGTACCTGGAGCACCGTCGTACCACTGTGGTGTACCAGGTACACCGTCGTACACTGTGGTGTACCTGGTGCACCGTCGTACCACTGTGGTGTACCTGGTGCCCCGTCGTACCACTGTGGGGTTCCAGGAGCACCGTCGTCCCACTGTGGTGTACCAGGTACACCGTCGTACACTGTGGTGTACCTGGAGCACCGTCGTCCCACTGTGGTGTACCAGGTACACCGTCGTACACTGTGGTGTACCTGGAGCACCGTCGTACCACTGTGGTGTACCTGGAGCACCGTCGTACACTGTGGTGTACCAGGTACACCGTCGTACCACTGTGGTGTACCTGGAGCACCGTCGTACCACTGTGGTGTACCTGGTGCCCCGTCGTACCACTGTGGGGTTCCAGGAGCACCGTCGTCCCACTGTGGTGTACCAGGTACACCGTCGTACACTGTGGTGTACCTGGAGCACCGTCGTCCCACTGTGGTGTACCAGGTACACCGTCGTACACTGTGGTGTACCTGGAGCACCGTCGTACCACTGTGGTGTACCTGGAGCACCGTCGTACACTGTGGTGTACCAGGTACACCGTCGTACCACTGTGGTGTACCTGGAGCACCGTCGTACCACTGTGGTGTACCTGGAGCACCGTCGTCCCACTGTGGTGTACCTGGAGCACCGTCGTCCCACTGTGGTGTACCAGGTACACCGTCGTACACTGTGGTGTACCAGGTACACAGTCGTACACTGTGGTGTACCTGGAGCACCGTCGTACACTGTGGTGTACCAGGTACACCGTCGTACACTGTGGTGTACCAGGTACACCGTCGTACCACTGTGGTGTACCTGGAGCACCGTCGTACCACTGTGGTGTACCTGGAGCACCGTCGTACCACTGTGGTGTACCTGGAGCACCGTCGTACCACTGTGGTGTACCTGAAGCACCGTCGTACCACTGTGGTGTACCAGGTACACCGTCGTACACTGTGGTGTACCAGGTACACCGTCGTACACTGTGGTGTACCAGGTACACCGTCGTACCACTGTGGTGTACCTGGAGCACCGTCGTACCACTGTGGTGTACCTGGAGCACTGTCGTACCACTGTAGTGTACCTGGAGCACCGTCGTACCACTGTGGTGTACCTGGAGCACCGTCGTACCACTGTGGTGTACCTGGAGCACCGTCGTACCACTGTGGTGTACCTGGAGCACCGTCGTACACTGTGGTGTACCTGGAGCACCGTCGTACACTGTGGTGTACCAGGTACACCGTCGTACACTGTGGTGTACCTGGAGCACCGTCGTACCACTGTGTTGTACCTGGTACACCGTCGTACACTGTGGTGTACCTGGAGCACCGTCGTACACTGTGGTGTATCTGGAGCACCGTCGTACACTGTGGTGTACCAGGTACACCGTCGTACCACTGTGGTGTACCTGGAGCACCGTCGTACCACTGTGGTGTACCTGGAGCACCGTCGTACACTGTGGTGTACCTGGAGCACCGTCGTACCACTGTGGTGTACCTGGAGCACCGTCGTACACTGTGGTGTACCAGGTACACCGTCGTACACTGTGGTGTACCTGGAGCACCGTCGTACCACCAACGGTACGCAGACCAACGCAGCATGTTGTCTACCAACGGGCCTCACTCTTGTATCACACCTTTCTACCTACCGTCTCCCTTACCACCCTCCCCTATGTACCCCCTGGGAACTTGATTTGCTAACGTATGCTCCCCCTTTCAATCCCCCCCTCCCCTACCTCTTCCCAGATCACCTATCCTTATTATCTTGCGTCCCACCTCCCTTCCCTGACTTCCCCTTCCCCACCTTCTCTCCCTCACCATCCCTACCATATAATATCTACCCCTTTTGTCACCTCCCTTCCATGTAACATCTACCATCCTCCCCCTCGTCCCCTGCTTGTCCTCCGTCCTCCGCCTGTCCTTCCACCTGTCGCCCGTCTAACCATCTGTCACTTGGCTGTGACGGGCCAGCCATCTCCCTTCAGTCCGCCTTACACAATTACCTTGTTCAGCGGCTTCTACATGTTACTACGTCAGAGCTTTGATCCTAATTGGCTCAGTCCCAGCGGCCCTTGTTACGGGCGAGGGACGGAACTATGTATAACCCTGTCACGAAGACGGATGGCCCGTCTTCAGACCTCCTCAGTATTTGACTGCATCAGTCCCTTCAGAAATTGGATCACCATGAGGAAATCAAAACGAGCCGTAATGAGGATTAGAACCTACGCCCTGGGTGTTCCCAGATGCATGCTCTAAACTACTTAAACGGCGGTCTCCCTTCATGCATGTCTGTGTTCAGTCCCTGACCGTCGAAAAGTAGCTGAGCACCATTCCTGTCCCTGTCCCATCCCATATCCTTATTCTGACCCCTTCTCAGTGCTATATAGTCGTAACGGCTTGGCGCTTTCTCCTGAAATTTCTTCACTTTTGTCCCTGCTTCCTTCCTTCCTTTACCTCCCATCATACCTTTCTCTCTGCCTTCCTCCCTTCCTTCCCTCGTCCCTCCCTCCCTCCCTCCTATATTTCTTCTCGTTTCCCAATATATTGTATAAATCTACCCTATTATATTTAAATATATTTCTGTCTCTAATCATATTTATCTCTCATGCTCTCTTTTTCTCATTTCCCCTTTTTTCTCATTCTCTTTTCCTCTTTCCCTCTCTCCCCTCTCTTTCTCTCCTTTTTCCCCTCTCTTTCTTTCCTTTTTCCCTCTCTTTTCCCCTCTCTTTCTCTCCTTTTTCCCCTCTCTTTTCCCCTCTCTTTCTCTCCTTTTTCCCTCTCTTTTCCCCTCTGTATCTTCCCCTCTCTCTCTCTCTCTCTCTCTCTCTCTCTCTCTCTAATATATGTAAGGGTTAAGCCGTATTACTAAAGTATTCATTAGTTTCCCCAATTCAGTTGGTTACAGGAAGCACGAACAGTTCTGAAGGTACAGGAAGTACCATCAGTTCCGAGGGTACAGGAAGTACCAACAGTTCCGAGGGTACAGGAAGTACCAACAGTTCCGAGGGTACATTAAGTTTCAACAGTTCCGAGGGTACATTAAGTTCCAACAGTTCCGAGGGTACATGAAGCACCAACAGTTCCGAGGGTACAGGAAGTACCAACAGTTCCAAAGGTACAGGTAGTACCAACAGTTCCGAGGGTACAAGAAGCACCAACAGTTCCGAGGGTACATGAAGCACCAACAGTTCCGAGGGTACAGGAAGTACCAACAGTTCCGAGGGTACAAGAAGCACCAACAGTTCCGAGGGTACATGAAGCACCAACAGTTCCGAGGGTACAGGAAGTACCAACAGTTCCGAGGGTACAGGAAGTACCAACAGTTCCGAGGGTACAGGAAGTACCAACAGTTCCGAGGGTACAGGAAGCACCAACAGTTCCGAGGGTACAGGAAGTACCAACAGTTCCAAAGGTACAGGTAGTACCAACAGTTTCGAGGGTACAAGAAGCACCAACAGTTCCGAGGGTACATGAAGCACCAACAGTTCCGAGGGTACAGGAAGTACCAACAGTTCCGAGGGTACAGGAAGTACCAACAGTTCCGAGGGTACAGGAAGTACCAACAGTTCCGAGGGTACAGGAAGCACCAACAGTTCCGAGGGTACAGGAAGCACCAACAGTTCCGAGGGTACAGGAAGCACCAACAGTTCCGAGGGTACAGGAAGTACCAACAGTTTCGAGGGTACAAGAAGCACCAACAGTTCCGAGGGTACATGAAGCACCAACAGTTCCGAGGGTACAGGAAGCACCAACAGTTCCGAGGGTACAGGAAGCACCAACAGTTCCGAGGGTACAGGAAGCACCAACAGTTTCGAGGGTACAAGAAGCACCAACAGTTCCAAGGGTACATGAAGCACCAACAGGTCCGAGGGTACAGGAAGTACCAACAGTTCCGAGGGTACAGGAAGTACCAACAGTTCCGAGGGTACAGGAAGCACCAACAGTTCCGAGGGTACAGGAAGCACCAACAGATGACACAAACCATTGCTAACAAGGAAGAAGCGTCGCCCCGCCAAGTGGTAATTAACCACATACTAACTGCTTACACGAGAGAGCATTAATAATTTTCCATATTTGTTAATTAATATATATGGTTTAAGTTACTCTGAGTTTATTTCCGGCATCAATTTCTCCCCGGCCCAGTTTATCATGAGGCCTCCTGATGGACACCTGATCAGGAACTGCCAATATTCTGCAGGGAGAATGTTAGGAGTCACTTGTGTGACACTTATAACTGGACGAAACTGCGCACGTTTCAGGTGTCCTTGACGAGGGCAGGAAGTGTGTGAAGGGTCTCCTGAGTGGCACTTTAACTGGAGTGTTTCCGCCGCTTGCTAAGGTCGAGCACCTCTTTTGTGTGGTGACATGACCCGTGTGTCACAGGTTAATTGATCTCTCGGCCGTGAAATGCTTCTTTTGTGTGTTTGTTCTGCATGATAACTTTGTGAGAGCCGGGCCCTGTCGTTAAGTTAGTCTCTGGCATTTTAAATTAATTCTTGATCCTGTTCAGAATTTTAAACGTTTGTTTGGCGTAGAAGTTATTCTTAGTTATTCAGCCTAATGTATCATCTGAGATAACTAAGACATCTAGCAAATTCATCCACTTCCTTCGTCACCTGTCCCATCAACTGACACCTGCCTACCCCTGGAGACAGCTGTCTCGTCATTTAACATCTTCATCTACCCTCCTTGTTCACGTGTCATACCACTGAACACGTCCCTCTACCCTCCTTGTTCACCTGTCATACCACTGAACACGTCCCTCTACCCTCCTTGTTCACCTGTCATACCACTGAACACGTCCCTCTACCCTCCTTGTTCACGTGTCATACCACTGAACACGTCCCTCTACCCTCCTTGTTCACCTGTCATACCACTGAACACGTCCCTCTACCCTCCTTGTTCACGTGTCATACCACTGAACACGTCCCTCTACCCTGCTTGTTCACGTGTCATACCACTGAACACGTCCCTCTACCCTGCTTGTTCACCTGTCATACCACTGAACACGTCCCTCTACCCTCCTTGTTCACCTGTCATACCACTGAACACGTCCCTCTACCCTCCTTGTTCACCTGTCATACCACTGAACACGTCCCTCTACCCTGCTTGTTCACCTGTCATACCACTGAACACGTCCCTCTACCCTGCTTGTTCACGTGTCATACCACTGAACACGTCCCTCTACACCATCATCGACATCTACCTAACACATGGCTCTCCTCCCTGTGACACCTGTCCTGCAATTGTGCTCCTTCCACTGCTGCTCCTCGACATTTTCGAGGTAAAACACAAGATTTTGTGTTTTACAAGGACGTATAATAAGGCCATAAACTGTTGTACTAGAAAATGGTAGCGGCTCGTGAAATTTACATACCGCGCCATTTTCTGTTTTGGGTCCTCTGGTAGGTTAGGATAAAGGAACTTTAGTACGACAGTATCTTGACGTTGGGAAACCTTAGAAGGACACACTGAATAAATAGCTTAAATATATTGAAACAAACTAGCAAATGTAATGATGAGAAAGATCACTCCTCCAGTAGTGGTTCATTCCTCCACTGTGACAGGATGGTAGAGTGACCGTCTCTCTTCATGCAGGTCCGTGTTCAGTCCCCAACCATCCAAGTGGTTGGGTACCATTTCTTCCGCTTATCCCTTATCTTCCTTATCCCTTCCTAGGGCTATAAAGTCGTAATGGCTTGGTGCTTTCCCCTGATAATTAAAAAATATCCTCCTCTCGTGACTCCCACGTGGAATATGTTCTCACACAAAATGTATCCTGAACATTTTATACGCATTGACCATAATAAAAACTCTTGCCTACAGATGGATCAGACTTCCCACTACACCAAATTTTAAAGTCTCTGCATTATATAAAACAATTATTATATAATCATTACACAGTAAATCAATGCTGAAAAATCTAGAAAATATAAAAGACAAAATGCGAGATAAAACTATAGAAATAGAGAATCATTCATAAATCAAAACAACTGGAAATCACAGCAGAATTCCTAATGATATAATGTTACTTAGGAGGAGTGGGTGAAGCAGTAGTGCCAGGGTGGTTCTTTATGTTGATGAATGGAGAACAGGTAGTTAGAGCGTCGTAAGGCTGGATAGAAGGTAGTTAAAGGTATCTATTTAAAAGATAATCTGGCTAAAGGCTTAAAATGGGGAATGTTTTCGACTTGACCTGAGCACGTGAGGAGCACAGTAAAGGTTATTATTAGATTTTGCTTACTTCGCGCGTGTGTGTGTGTACCAACCGAATTGTGCTTACCTAGTTGTGCATGCGGGGGTTGAGCTCTGGCTCTTTGGTCCCGCCTCTCAACTGTCAATCAACTAATGTACATGTTCCTGAGCCTACTGGGCTCTATCATATCTACACTTCAAACTGTGTATGGAGTCAGCCTCCACCACATCACTTCCTAATGCATTCCATTCGTCTACTACTCTGACACTGAAAACATTCTTTCTAACGTCTCAATGGCTAATTTGGGCACTCAATTTCCACCTGTGTCTTCTAGTGCGTGTGCCCCTTGTGGTAAATAGCCTGTCTTTATCTGTCCTATGAATTCCTCTGAGAATCTTGTATGTGGTGATCTTGTCCCCTCTAACTCTTTTCTCTCCCAGTGACGTGAGGTTTAATTCCCGTAGTCTCTCCTAGTAGCTCATACCCCTCAATTTGGGTAATTGTCTGGTGCCAAACCTTTGAATCTTTTCCAGTTTAGTCTTATGCTTGACTATTTATGGACTCCATGCTGGTGCCGCATACTCCAAGATTGGTCTGACATATGTGGAATACAAAGTTCTGAAAGATTCCTTACACAAGTTTCTAAAGGCCGTAGTTGTATTATCCAACCTTGCATATGCCACTAATGTTATCCTCTTGATATGAGCTTCAGGGGACAGGTCTGGCGTGATATCAACCCCAGGTCTTTCTCTCTGTCTCTGACTCTTGAAGTATTTCATCTCCCAAATGATACCTTTTATCTGGTCTTAAGGAACCTAAGTAAGGAGGCATTTAGGGCGCTTTACACTGCCTACGTGAGGCCAGCCTTGGAGTATGCCGCCCCATCACCTGAAGAAACACATAAGGAAACTGGAAAAGGTTCTGAAGTTTGCAACGAGACAACGAAAAGTTTGCAAAGTTCCCAGCATTACGAGGCTTTGGGTATGAAGAGTGGCTGAAGGAACTGTGCTTTACGACACTATAAAAAGAAGGGAAAGGGGGGATATGATAAGAACGTAAAAAATATTCAGGGGGATTGACAGAGTGGAAATAGACGAAATGTTCACACGGAATAGTACAGAACGAATAGGACATGGGTGGAAGCTTGAAACTCAGATGAGTCACAGAAATGTTAGGAAGTTTTCTTTTAGCCTGAGAGTTGTGGAAAAATGGAATGCACTTAAGGAACAGGTTCTGAAAGCAATTTCTATTCAAAATTTTAAAACAGCATGATAGGGAAATAGGGCCGGAGTCATTGCTATAAGAAACCGATGGCTCGAAAGGTGGGGTCCAAGAGTCAATGCTTGATCCTGCAGACACAAATAGGTGAGTACAAACAAATAGGTGAGTACACACACACACACACACACACACACACACACACACACACACACACACACACGTATACATATACATAAACATAAAGTAATAAACCGCCAACTGACGCATCACGTCCCAGATGATCATTACCAGGAACTGCAACACAACACTCACAGCTCATGTTCCACCTTCGAACCCCGCAAGTAGTGGAGACTGCGCGCAGCAGCGGCATCAACCACAACCACCAATCACAATCACATCAACGGCATCACTATGATGAGAGACAACCCTGGCCGAAGTCACCACTCCGGACGCACCGACAATTATCCGGACCAGAGATAGCACTAATTTGAATAACGATCCTGGCCATCTTGCCCGCGTGCGTGTGTGTGTGTCTCAGTAATGATGCTTGTATCTCCTAGTCTGAGAGCTTCCGTTTCTCCTCTGCTTAGGAGGCTTTATTCCTAGACCTGACTCTCTGGTTTTTGGCTACGACGAGGCTTAAAGTCTCGTATTTTGTAGTTCAGGAAAAATACGGCATTATTATTTATATATAAGTGAACATCATATGATTAGCTAAATGATCTTCAACATATAGGCAGTCTCTGTTGATGATAGGGGGGGGGGAATTATTGTGAAAATGTTCACAATGTATTCCAATAGAACATGGAAGCATGGTTACAAACTACAGAAAACTCTGTCATAGAGATATTAAGTTTTCATTTGGCGTAAAATCAGTGAGCATATGGAGGGAGGGAAATTATCAGGAGAAAGCCATTACGACCTTAGAACACTTTGAAGGGATCAGGATAAGTATTTTGGAAAAATAATTATCACTGAAAAATAAGAACAGTTAAAACAACGAAAATAAAAACAATAAAAAAATAAAAAAATAAACTATACTCACAAATTAACCGTATGGTAAACAACACAGCTCAATTCCAAGACAATGTCACACAATAATAAAATCAAATTGAAAATAAATCAAAATGAATGAAAATTCAATTTATCAGTGCAATCAGAAAAATGAAAAGTAATCGTAACATATTTAGCATAGTGTGTGTTGCTCTTATATGCAACAGATGGTGCTGTTTTTCAAAAACAGCATGGTTTTGCCTGTCACCCGTGTACTTATACTCACGAATTGAATGGCATGGTAAACGATAGAGCTTAATTCCAACACAATGTCACACATAATAATTAAATCAAAATAAAATAATTCGAAATCGATGAAAATTAAATTTATCAATGACATCGGAAACAATGACATGAAATCAAAACATATTTAGTATAGCGTAAGTTGCTTTTACGTGCAACAGACGGTGCGTTTTTTTTTTTTTAAAGAAAATCATGTTTTTACCTGTCACAGGTGTGGCATCTATACTTATACCCACGAAATAAACAGTATGGTAAACAACATAGTTCAGTTTCAATGCAATATCACACACAAAAATTCAATCAAAATGAAAATAGATATGTATGAAAATATAATTTGTCAGTGCAATC